AAAACTTGGGACTGAGACTACTGTTAGTTTAGGTTCTCCACTGACAGGAAAACTAAGTTGACTTCCTGCAATCAGACCTAATTATTTGTAAGTGGCCTCGACTAAGCCACATATACAGATATGGTTATATTGATCAATATTATAATTTATTTGTTTATAAAATAAAATTAATACTCTCTCATTGTGGTGGTCAAAAAACCCTCAAATTCTTGATAAAACCCTGAATAACAACTAATATTAGTATTGCTTAGTGAAGTTGCTGTATAAGTATCACATATTGCTAATAATAGATTTATTACCCTTAGAATATAAGATACTTCTATCTTATGAAGGAGAAAAAAAAACAACACATTGCAGGTTGATCTAAAAGAAATATTCTGGACCTAGAAGTCGGGAAACTTGGCTTGTATTCTCAGTCCTGAAGCTAAATACTTTATTTCCTTGGCTCTGAAATATATATATATATATTTTAAGGAGTGGGAGAGGAACAGAAGGAAAGGGAGAGAGAAAATCCTAAGTAGGCTCCACGCTCAGTGAAGAGCTGGATGTGGGGCTTCATCTCATGACCCTGAGATCATGACCTGAGCCAAAATCGAGAGTCGGATGCTTACCTGCCTGAGCCACCCATGTGCCCCCAGTTTAATATTTTTTATTTTATTATTTCAGAGATTGGGATGCATCCATTTAGTGTGTTGTGGTCTTTTTAAGAAGATCTTAAAAATTTATAGTGTATCTCACAGTGAATGACATCTTAGAAATGAAATTTGATAGCTGCCTGACGTTGGGTGAATCACCTATTTCTTGCGGTTTCTGTTCCCTCATTTACAAAATAAGAAATATTGCTAGACTCTTCTTCCTTTTTATAAAGATATGTGATTAGAAAGAACAGTCAGAAACATTTACTGGGCGTGGCCAGAATGGAAGGCATTATACTAAATGGAAGAGAGGTTTTAACCAGAATAAAATCCTGTCATCCACCCTCTAGGACAGCTGCAGGTGATCATGGGAGGCACACGGCCCACACTTCAGATGTCCCTAACAGTTCTCATCAGCCTTTTGTTTTTAGGTTTAAGATTTATAAAAAGATCAGAGAATACATGTAACAAACATCTGAGTGACCGCCACCTGACTAGTGTTCCCATTTGTTCACGCACTCTCGCTCGGATACAGTTCAAGTCCTTCCTGTGTGTCCTTCAGTCTGATCCTCCTCCTCCTCTCTCCAGAGGCAGTGACTGTCATGAATGTGGTGTGCATTCTGCCAGTCAAGTTTGGGGCTGCTTAAATCCCACTTTTAGAGATAGAAGTCATGTCACAGTCTAATCTTTTATTTTAAAACGATGACATAAAACCTAAAGGAATGGAATAATTAATCCAAAGTCCCCTCTCTCTTTCTCTCTCCCTCTAACACATTCTGAATTTATCCAGTGGCTACTATTTGCTGTTCTATTCTATAAAGATTTTTAAAAAGAAGACAAAAAGGAAAGAAAAAAGTGGGGGAGGGGAGGCAAGAGATGAAAATGAAGAAAACATGGCATGGTTTAGCTTTTCTTTTTTTAAATTTATTTTTATTTCGTTAAATTATCTTTATTTATAAATATTATCTTTATTTCTTTATTATTAAATGGTTAATGGTTAATCACCATACATTACATCATTAGTTTTTGATGTAGTGTTCCATGATTCATTATTTGCGTATAATACCCAGTGCTCCATGCTCCATGCAGAACATGCCCTCTTTAATACCCATCGCCAGGTGGTTTAGCTTCTCTTATCAGGGAGGTGATAGTTACACGTGTGAAATTGGAAATGATAGAAAATAGTGTCGGAGTAAAGGCTAACTTCTCTATGATCAGGGCCAAGAAGAGGAGCATTAGGAGGTGCTCTGCACTGACTGGAAGGGGAGCGTTAGGACTGACTCGGTTACTGGGCAAGGTCTTGCTGCTGGGGACCAACTTTTCCTGGGCCCTGGTGGGACAGCTGACTTTAAGGGCCTGAGGCTGAATGAAGAGGAAGGGATGAAAGGTCGTAGCTTGGTGTGCCGGGCGGAGTGACAGGCGAGGGTGTTCATGTGTGTAGGAGACAGGTTGTGGTTGGGCTGTGGACAGCAGTTGAAGAATTTCTCACCTATTAAACTAGTAATTATCCCTTTTTCCAATCATAATAGCTAGTAAATGGCGATCCTTTAAGAAAAGACACTCACCGGTGAGAGTGGAAATTGTAAGACTTTTCTGGAGAAGACTTTCTCTCAGAAGCCTCGAATGTGTGTGTTCCTTTTTCTTTTTTAGATTTTATTTATTTATTTGTCAGAGAGAGAGAGAGCATGAGCGGGGGAAGCGGCAGGCAGAGGGGGAAGCAGACTCCCTGCTGAGCAGGGAGCCCGATGCAGGACTTGATCCCAGGACCCTGGGAGCATGACCTGAGCTGAAGGCAGATGCTTAACTGACTGAGCCACCCAGGAGTCCCAAGAATATGTGTGTTCCTTAATCCAGGGATCAGCCACATGGTTTCCAGCAGGAAAAAAAAAGCAAATAAATGTTTAAAAAAGGGTATTGTTGTTATATATTTAAATATAGTTATGTAATTAAATGGTATTTTATGGTCAGAGTAAAATATATGGAACCGTAATATATTAAATTTTAAAAAACATAAAAACCCAACACTACAGCATATTTTTCGTTTAAAATAATGCACATAGGAAAACAAATTGAGGTAAAAGTACACCTGAATATCAACAATGATTATTTCTGGGAGGTGGGATCCCTTGTGATTTTTATTTTCTTCTTGTTGCTTGTCCAGATTTTCTAAATTCCCTTCAATGAATGTTTTCGTAACAAGAAAATTATAAAAATGGCAAACCATGGTAATTATGCATTTGTTTAAATAATCTGAGATCTCATGGAACCAAAAGATAAAATTATTCTCATTTATGAAAAAAAATTATTTTCACTTCTTCTAGAACCTGAGGTAGCAGTAGTCAAAATTCTCAAATGAGGGGCACCTGGGTGGCTCAGTTTGTTGGGCAGATGCCTTCGGCTCGGGTCATGATCCCAGAGTCCTGGGATCGAGCCCCTCATCGGGCTCCTTGCTCGGTGGGGAGCCTGCTTCTCCCCCTCGCTGCTACTCTGCCTGCTTATGTTCTCTCTCTCTGTCAAATAAATAAATAAATAAATCTTAAAAAAAAATTCTCAAATGATGTGGTGATTGAGAAACACACACTCCTAAACTTACAAGAGGTCAAGAATAACTTATGAGGCCTTAAGGCTTGAACAAGGTAATGATTTAAAGGCCAAGTTAATTCCTTGAAGAAAACTGCTGTTCGGTGCACTTCTTCAAAGGAATTTTCTCATCTGACAGTTAGGATATCTGAAGTGTAGCCCAATAGCTGTTGGCTTTTTTATGTTTGATAAACTACTCTTTGGTCAGGCTTTTAACTTATTTTTTCCTTAACAAAATATGTGCAAACAAAGCAAAACCAAAAAACAGTATTTCTTTCTTAAAACAGGCATTTCTCAAATTTTACCACTAGCTTGCCAGTGATTTGGGGGAAGTTCTTTCTTTAATCATTTGGAGCTTTAGATTCCCCTATAGGAAATGAAGTACTCACAAAATTTTCCTTTAGCCTTAAACTTCTTCAGTTCAATGATGATAACAGAAGCTCCCATTCAAATCGATGTACGTACACACAAGATCATTCTCAAAGAAAGACGAATGCCAAGTGGCCCACGGTTTTACCTCCATTTGTCCCAAAAGTTTAGTTTTGGGGCTAGTGAAAAGTTATGACTGTATTTGAATTGAGTGCCTTTTCTATCAGGCTGATGACCAGACTAGTCCGAATGGAAATGTTTACTTTGATTTAACTGGTAGTCCTTTAATCATTGTAAAAATATACACACATAAGTAACAGAATTGATTAGCTATTCCCCGTGTGTGTGTGTGTGTGTGTGTGTGTGTGTGTACAAAATCAAAAGTAGAAGAGCTGAGACAGCAGAGAGCAGCTAATGATGACAGTTGGCTCTGGTCACAGGATGATAGGAACTACAGGTAAGAAGGCATCAAAAATGACTTTACTTAGCTCACAGATTTGCCTGTTTAAATAAATAAACAAAAAGGAAAAAAAAAAAGAGGGCCTTGAAAGGATAAATGACCATCCTGTGCCAAAACCAAGATAAATGATGGATTCAATTCCCTGTAGCTGGGATCCAAGGGAAAAAAAAAAGTAAAAGAACTTAATTGGTCCCATAAAAGATTGACTTTGCTCCTGGCAATGGTAATCAAGAATAACTGACATGGCTTTTTTTTTTGAAGCAAAATACCTTTTGTCTTTGTCTCATTACATATCATAAATTTAGATAAAACATGGAAAGTTGAGTCCAGAAAACTTGCTTTTGAAATTATATCCCTTTGTTCATTAGCTAACAAACATTTCTAGAACTTCTTAGAAGCTAAGCATCCTGCACCATTGGCATTTGCTGGGGTCCAGATAATAGGATGAGATGAAAAGTGATTGCTACTATTTTTATTTCAGCTGTCTTACTGTCCTCTGCCACCCCCATTCCCAATCTCAAAATCGACTGAGAGTTTGTTGTAGATTATTTTAGAATATATTGTTAATTTCTCTAGTGTTAAGAAATGGAGAAGAAAAGGCTATTTTTAAAAAAGTTCAAAGAAACTAGTGGTTATTACCCCTCCTCAAGCCAGTGACTATGAAAAGAATGAAGATTAACTCCTCCTAAGCTCACACCTTTCCTGCCCTGCATGTGGATCTTTCTGGAAGGCCCAGCACAAAAGCATGCATGCCTGGCAGCGGGAAAGTCCATAACTTAGGTACTCGGGGATGCATGACATAGAAGAGGGGCATCATTTCCTGAACTTTGATTGAAATAATATTGAAGAGTTGGGGAGAAGAAGCAATGCTGAATTTTTCCTTAAATGTTTTCCAAAGCAAACTAGCTTTTCTGACTTGATATCACCAGAAACAAAAATGTGAATTTTTTGTGTAGGTCAGTGTCACTGGAGCCCAGGACAAAGAGAATGAGCCTCCAGAGCCTACCTGGGTTGACCGCCTGACCACCAGTCCTTCACCTGAGGCTGCTGCCACGGAGGGGCCATTGCTTGGCCACCCTGAGGGTGGGGCAGAGGGTCTGGAAACCAGAATTCCAAGTCCTGTTTTGGACTTACAGCCAGAAAAGCTGGTGCACAAAGGTAAGAGACACCTGCCAATCAGCTGCTGCATCTAAAATGTCAAGGCACAGAACGGGTGGGCTCTAAAATCTCATTCAGAAAGAACATGTTTTGGGGGCGCCTGGGTGGCTCAGTCATTAAGCGCCTGCCTTCGGCTCAGGTCGTGGTCCCGGGGTCCTGGGATCGAGCCCCGCATTGGGCCCCCTGCTCAGCTGGGAGCCTGCTTCTCCCTCTCCCACTCCCCCCTCTGCTTGTGTTCCTTCTCTCGCTGTGTCTCTCTCTGTCAAATAAATAGATATAAAATCTTAAAAAAAACAAAGAAAGAAAGAACATGTTTTGACCCTAAACAGGAAGGACAAAAGACACTTTTCATTTTATTATATGTCAAATTAGAAAACTGGCTATAGAACAAATTTGGTCCATAAAAAATTTTAAGGTTCTTATAATGTTTATTGTCTTTTAAAATGTAAATGCCTTTAGAGAAGACTGTGTTCTCATTTTCCCATAGCCCCTACCACTCCCTATTGTCTTATGTGTGACCTTGACACATGTAGACATTTGAATTTTTGACCCCTAGATTGTAGAGGAGAAAAAAGCGAGAATCTAGATTCCTCCTCATCAACATATTTTCTATGGAGTTACTATCTACAGAAATCAATCATTATATACAGAGTTTCTGAAGGACATGCCAGAGAGACAAGATCCTTGCCAAAAAGCAGCTCTGAGATTGGCTTGACAAGTTACACAATATACAATATTTAGTGATTGTTTTTAAGAGTGGAGATAGTGAAAGTCTACTACTCCTTTCCAGTTGGTCTAAGGAGTCTTCAGAGGAGAGGTAGATTTGGAGGTTAGTTTCAGGAAAAAAGGAATCGAGACATGCTCCCTATCTGGGGAAATGATTCTGGGAGATGGAAAGAAGGCTTGTTTCATTTGAGAAATGAAGCTATGGCATATAAACTGTCTCGCAGAACACAAGCCTCAGGCAGCAAGTACCTATTTGGTTGTTGTGGCTTTTCTCACCTTGGAATCACTTCTTCAGGTAAGGAATACTAATCAAGGCACTAAGGAGAACCACGAAATAAAAAGGGACTAAATGAGTGGCTTTATTATGGTAGTTCTCCTTTGTCTTTTTTTTTCTTTACAGTGGAAGTGTTTCTAAAATTTATTCATAAATGGACATTAAAAGCTCATGTTTTTATTGTCCTGCAAGAACTGCTCTTTTTAAAGATTTTTTTTTTTTTTATTTAGAGAGAGAGAGAGTGGGGAGAGGGGCAAAGGGAGAGGGAGAGAGAGAATCTTAAGCAGGCTCCCTGCTGAGCGCAGAGCCCCACAACGGGGCTCCATCTCACCACCCTGAGATTAGGACCTGAGCCGAAACCAAGATTCGGACCCTTAACCGACTGAGTCACTCAGGCGCTGCAGGAACTGCTCTTTTTAAAAGAAAATTGTGATATAAAGAGAGCCCTTCGTTTTATTTATTTATTTTTTGGTAACTTAAAAGGATTTTCCTTTTTTAGTAGGCACAATTACATGTGATCACAGTGGCACTTTCTAGGAACACACTGGGAAGAATTGTGCACAGAAGGCTGAGATCATCTTTATTCCAAATGTTAATCTGATTTTAAATCAAGTCCAAATTAAATGACGAAGTCCTATTTTTCTCTTGTCAACTAATCCCCACAAGGGTATTAGCCAATGAAGGCTCACAGTGCTATGCTTTCAGGGAAATAAGCCCTTTTAATAAGGTTTCGTGAAGATCAAAAACTTTTATGTTTTCAAAGGCATATCTAATGGTGGACTTGCAGGTGGTGGAGGCAGTATTTTAGGTATTAGGGACCCTTTTTTAACTTGGAACCAAATTTTCGTCGTTGGCATGTTAGGGTGCGTAGAGAATAAACTTCATAAAGCTCTCACTTTTCATCTTTTCAGGGAAAGTAAAACCTATAATAACACATTATCCTTTTCTCACTCTAGATCCTAGATGCTTGGAAGACCTAAAGCCAGGAAACTGTGGCGACTACGTGGTTCGATGGTATTATGACAAACAGGCCAACTCCTGTGCCCGCTTTTGGTTCAGCGGCTGTAATGGCTCAGGAAATAGATTCAACAGTGAACACGAATGTCAAGAAACCTGCGTTCAAGGATGAGTAAGTGAACCAACCCCAATGAGTCAAGGCTGCATCTCTATCAGCAAACCTAGAAAGAACCTCTATAATTTCAACATACTCACCCAATACAAATAAAACACCGTATTTGAGTATATACTGAGTACTTATAATTTATAAACATAGTTGAATCCTTATAACCACCCCAGGATGTAGGTATTAACTATTGTTATCGGCAAAGAAGCGGAGGCTCTGAGAAGTTCAGGGACTCCTGAACAGTTACCCAACTAAAAAGTGGCATAACTCGGGGTCTGAGTCAGGGATATGTAACCTCAGAGCACGGGCTGCAGCTACATCACAGCCTGCAATGTGGTTCTGATCGGCATTAGTTCTTATTCTATGCATTATGTTGGATTAAACTCCTGTCCTGTCCCAAGCTCCCCAACCCCCAGCCCCCAGTCCCTCTCACTGGCCTCAGTCCCCAACCCCCTTATAGCCCTGCCTGTAGCAGAAGGGAGATGGTAGGGAAGGATTTGAGTTTGGGAATTAGAAGGGATGGTGGGGGGGAGCATGTCTGTGCACAGCAGGTGGCGAGATAAGAAAGACATCCTACTTGGGGGAAACCCAGAAAGATGGTGATTCTGGGAGATGAGGGGCATCGGAATAGGAGTGAGGTGCTGAGGGTAGTTAGATTTTTGCCTTGCTAGCTCTGAAAGTGATTGAGAAACCAATCTGAACGAAAATTACTTAACTCAAATTTACTAACAATTGCCACTCCCCACTCCAACATGTTTGGTAACAAAGGCTTTGTTGTGTGTTTAAACTCTATATTTAAGACAAAACTCATAATTTAAACAAATGAATTCTTTCCACCCTTCCTTTAAAATATGTAAGTGAGACTTTCAATTTTAGGGGGCAGAATGAGAAGGTACTTGATAGGTACTCCTTGAAGCCCACATCCACTCTTGAACAGGGTATTTTAAAGACAAGACTTCCACTGAAAAACGAGCCACTGTATTGAAATACAATCCAACAGAGTAATAGAGAATTGGCTCTGTCACTTTATGATAATTTTGTGACATCCAGCCTGGGAAGATGATTAGTTCTGAACTGTGCTCAGACAGCATTTGTATATATCAACTTCAACACACTTTTTTCTTCTTTCAGGCCTATGACCCTCATTCAAGTTTAGCAGCATAAAACAGGGCACTCAAGGAAGAGGGAACTGGAGGAACAACCATCTGAACAAAAACAATTTTGTATGGTTTAATTGAAATTTTATTAGGTAATATTTGGTACCACAAAAGAATATATGCAATATACCTGTAAGTTACCAGACATGATGATAAGATAGACACAAGTGAACATATCATACTGACAGTTCATCAAACACAATCAATTCTGTTGAAGTTTCCTGTGCGGACTTCTCCAATCCCAGCCCCCTGTTTCCTGCCAGGGATAACCTATCTTGAATTTTGTGTTTACCATTTCACTTTGCTATTGGGTTTTTATATGTAATCTTACATGTAAAATCACATATATATCTATGTAGCTTTACACAATACATAGCCTTGCTTATTTTAGAGCTTTATAAAAATGGAGTCGTATTCTCGTCTTCTGCAACTTGCTATTATCAATGTTATAATTAATCCATATGTTCTACCATATCTAAATGTATTCCTAAATAACTTATTATTTAGTTTTTGAACTTTAGAAAATTTGTTTCATAATATGTAATTCTTTGCAACTTGGTGTGTCATTACATTATAATTCATACATGTCCATTTACTTTCAAAGTTGTATATTTGTGTGAATATATCACAACATATTTAACCATTGCCTTGTCTATGATTAAATTGTTTCTATTTAATTTTCTCCCCCTGGTCCATCAGGGCTGCTATGAACACTCTTAAGCACTTTTGGGAGCATGTGTACCAGTGTTTTTCCAGGATATATACCCTAAGGTGGAATTGTAGGGTTGCAGGCCATATAAACATTCAAAACTAGTATATTATACCAATTTTTTTCCCAGACTGTTTGAACCAATTCATTACAAAGTCCCACCAGTCGTGTATAAGAGTTTCCATTGTTTGATATTCTTGTCAACACTTAGTATTGTCAGACTTCTTCATTTTGCTAATAATAGGTGAAAATCATATCTTATTTTAAACTGACTTTCTCTGGTGACATATTTGTCTATATCTGTGCTGAGCCTTCTGTGAAATGTCTGTTGATATTTGGAGAAGATTTTCCTTTGGATTGTTTGTCTTCTTCATATTGAATTTCTGGAATTCCTTATAGATTTCTGAAATTGAATTCTTTATTATTTGTGTCCTTGTATCTTTGGGGTTTGTCTTTTTACCTTTTCTTTTTTTCTTAACTGAGCAGAAGTTCTCAATTTTAATGCAGTCAAATTTACCCATCTTTTCTCCTGGGGCTAGCACTTTTTTTTTCTTGTTTCTGCTGCCCAGCCTCTTAAGCCCCCTTTCTAGGTAGGGAACTCCCCCAGGACAGAAGAAACTGCTCTGGGTACTAGGTGTATGTTGCTGGATTTCCATCTGCATGCATGGTAATTTCTTATGATCTTATTAGCACTGTGGTAATTTCTAGGTGGTTGTTTTTTCTTCATCTTTTTTAACTGTCCTCAGCATGAAAGTGGTCTGAGCTACATGGATGGTCATTATCATATTTATTTGTTGTAGGATGGAGGGCTTCGGGTATTTTCATATTTCCTGGAAGCTCAGCAATTCATTAAAAGGCATGTATTGGTCACCATATGGGTGTTGGAAAGTAGAAAGACTTCGGAATATCCAGCCTGCTATTTTGCCAGAAGCAGAAGTATTTATGTTCCTTTTCCAAGTTCTTCACAAATTCACCCAGATAGAAAACTGATATGCAAACATGTTGTAACGTTGACTTGGGTGTTTATCCCATTATCTGAAATGTCTTTCTCTCCTTCCATGACTGACCAACTCCTAATACTTCAAGGACAGCTTGCAGGTCTTCTTTGCACTCTTTCTCAGTTGGGCTATGCTCAGCACTGAGTGCCCAAAGCCCTTGCTTACACCTCCATTCTACCCTGACCGCAGTCTGAACTGCCTTGCACTTAGTGAGAGCACCTGCATTAATTTGCTTTTGCTGCTCTAACAAATCACCACAAATATGGCTGTATAAGCATCACAAATATATTATCCTATAGTTCTGTAAGTTAGAAGCCCAATGTGGGTCTCACTGGGCTAAAAATCATGGTGTCAGTGGGGCTGTGTTTCTTCTGGAGGATCTAGGGAAGAATCTGTTTCCTTACCTTTTCCAATTTCTAGAGGCTACCTATAATCCTTGGCTAGTGGCTCCTTCCTCTGTTTTCGAAGCCAGCAGTAGCAGTAGAGAAGACTCTCTAAGTACAGCTGGGAAAGGTTCTCTGCTTTTAAGGACTCATGTGATTAGACTAGTTCCACCTGGATGACCCAAGATTTTTTTCCCCTTCTCAAGGTCCTTAACCTTAACCACATCTACAAAGTCCCTTTTTTTATATAAGGTAATATTCATAGGTTCTGGGAATCAGGGAAAAGGCACGGTTGGGGTCATTATTCCATGGACCATAGCACCTATATCCCCTACCAGCTTTCTGAGCTTAGGAGCAAGGCAGGTCTTGTTTATCTCTGTGTCCCCAGTTCCTGGTACATAGTTAAAAACTCAATACATTTGAAAAAAATATTAGAATTCACTTTATAAAAGTCATTACGGAAATAATTAACTACTTGGGAGAAAAAGGATCAAAAAACATCACACTAGTTTAAAAGGAGAATTAGAGGGGTGCCTGGGTGTCTCAGTTGGTTAAATGTCCTGACTCTTGATTTCAGCTCAGGTCATGATCTCAGGGTCATGCTCTGAGTCAGGTTCCACACCTTAAAGATTCTCTCTCCCTCTCTCTCTGCTCCCCAACCCCTGGACACATGCTCTCTCTAAAAAAAAAAGAAAGAGAGAGAGAATATGGGGACGTGCTAGCTTTCACCTCTCTCCATCGTCCCAAGCTCGAGGACATGCTCAGAATTAGAGGATAGAATGATAAAAGAGGCATGGAAGTAGGGCAAGCTACGGAAAGCAGCCAGAATGAAAAAGGACATATCGACTATTTTAAAATAATAGCACAACCATTCTGAAAGGCTCCACAAGGTCAGAGTAGGAGTCATTAGGTTGGAAGCCACAGAAGACATCCAGGTCAAGTTGCATCAGTGGGAGTCAGTGTTATCTAAAGAATGGGCTGCCTCAGAAGGAGATAATTGTCCTACCAGAAATGTTCACTCCAGGACTGCCCAGGGACTTAGGGTATTTGTCTAAAGGATATAAGCAATTGAGGAGACATAGGACTAGAAGACTCTAAGGATCCTTGGCAATTCTAAGAGCCTGATTAAGGCAGGGTTTCAAATTTCCTAAATTTCAGAGGCTGGTGTGACTTCAGTTTAAATGAAGAATTTTTCAAAGATTAATTTATGTAAAATGATAAAATATAATGAATGCTTTTAGAAATCAAATCAATCCAATATTTAAAAAAAACCAAATGCCATAAATATGTGTGTGAAATATGATTTGGGACTATTGTTTTGATGATCACATACACACACAATATTCTAAAATATGTCTTATTTTAGTGACATTTTACTAAAAGGTATAAGGAGGGGGAAATGTCTTAGGCACCAAAAGCATTAATCCATCTTTTCATTGTCATTCCCCAAAAGACACTGAATTATAGATTTGCAGAGAGAAAAGGCATAAATAATTGAACATCTAAAATCCCAAGTCAGATAGATTTTCTCCCAAAATTGGCATAATTCAGATGTCCCCTCACTGTTCTCAGCCAGGATTGCTGAGCAGAATCACCTGTGGGTGCCCGAGTCTCATCCCCGGCCTGCTTGGCATGTGTTTCTCTGACCATTAATAAAGCTGAGCATCTTGGGGTGCCTGGGTGGCTCAGTCAGTTAAGCGCCCGACTCTCGGTTTCAGTTTGGGACATGATCTCAGGGTCCAGCCCCTCATTAGCTCCTGGCTCAGTGTCAAATCTGCCTGTCCCTCTCCCTCTCCCTCTGCTCCTCCCCCTTTGCCCCCTCCCTCTCCCCCTCTCCTCTTCTCTCTCAAATAAATAAATAAAATCTTTAAATAAAGCTGGGCATCTCTTCATGTTTATTGGCCACCTTCTTTGAATTACCAATCTCTATCATTTTCCTATTTTTTTCCTTTTTATTCTTTTTGATTTATTAGAGCTGTGAAAATTCGTTATTGGTTACATGTGAATATTTTTCTCTCATTGTGTTGTTTACTTTTTGATGTTTTAGGATCAACATTGAGACTCAAATCACCAGTCTTCGAAAACCGGATTAGGGCATTTTTTGCAGTTAGCAAAGTTGAGGTTTCAACTAAATGAAAATGACAGAAATGATCTAAGATATTTTAACATTTTGGTAGAGTTTTTTTCATTGTTAAAATTATTGAACAGCATTAGTTCTTAATAAAATGCTAAAAATTCTTAATGTCTTAATTTAAAATGAAGACTTTTTTAGATACACATACATAGCCTATCCATTTTTCATTTGAGAGTGGAGAAACAGAATGTCCTATATTATCTCCATCCCTATTGGCTTGCTACCTAGCTTAACATGAAAACATAAATCATCATTTTTTCCCCAGAATTCTCAGATCTTTAAATTAGCCTCTTTGATCCTCTCTCTGACTTTTCCCTTTGTTTTGCTAATCATGGGAGGAGGTCCTGAATCTCCTCTAAGTGGATGAGAGAGTGATAGTTTTTACTCATTGACATATCATTTTTCTCTAATTCTCCTTTTATTTTTATTTACTGGGGGGGGGGGCAGAGGGAGAGAGAATCCTAAGCCACCCAGGCACTCCTAGCACATCCTCATTCTAAATATTATATTGCTGTGGAATATGACAAACCTAAGATGACTACCATGTCAAAAGAAGACATGGGAAAATTTCCTTCTACCTTGGAAGCAAAAAGAAACAAGAATTACATCATAGGAATTCTAAATAGCAAACAGGACTGTAGATTGCAAATACAGAAAAATTAAAGACTTCTTTTCCTTTTTCTCTCTGCAATAGACCAGACAGAGGCTATTATTTTCACCATCCTTCAAATTTGCCCTTAAACTCCATACTTACAGTTTCTTGACATCATTTTTAAGAACTGATGGAATTTTCCAGTTATTTGCTCCTTAGCATATTAGCTGGTGCTACCTTAAATTTATCACTTGGCTGTTTTTTCTCTCCTGCATTTTAATGAAGAATGCTATGGTTTTGCCAATATCTGTGACTTGGTTGGGATTTTTCTCAAATTGATTCTACTCTGAATAAATCTCCGCTCAAACTTGTTTTCAGTTGTTTAAAACACATCTCCAATGGGAAAAAAACAAAAAACCCAACAACGCCTGCCTTTATGTTGTTGTCTCAGTTCTAGTCGTCCAAGAAATAAATACTGGAATTTGTACAGACTTTTCCTGAGGTATATGACATACTTTGCTATTAGAAAAATAGTGACAAATATGGTAAAATGGACTAAAATTGTGCCTATTCCAATGTTAGAATGTTACTCGAACTTGTTCCCATATAGAAAGTTAGAGGCCAAGTCTATTAAATTTGCTTCATAGGACCCTCCACCTGCACCACAAACCAGGAGTCCTTCTGCTCCGTGTCTCTGTGAATGTTGCAATCATGCAGTCAGTGACCTTGTCTGGCCTCTGAGAAACATCCCAGCTCTTTCCTCCCTTACCCCCCAGATCCAGTTGTCAGTGCATGTGGTCCATCTTCTTTCTTGCTCTCTCCAC